TTTAAAAAAATTAATGTGACCTTGACCTGACCTTCGCTACGCAACCCAAGGTCAAACTGATGTGATCAGTAAATACATCTTTTTAAACGCCACAACTTTTGTCTGAAACATTTTTTTGTAAAACTTATATTTTTCCTGATATTCGGGCGTCCCGGTACTTTCCGAACACCCTGTATAACTTACAAGACTTGTATTGCGTGACTGAGATATACTCATATTGAAGCTAAAATTTACATGACGGAAATAAGCGAATAGTTTGATCAGAAATATTTCGTAATTAATGATATACAAATTTGCTATATACTACATACACGAAAATATTAGAAAAGTAAATTTTCATTATGTATATATTTATTTATTTATTTTTCATTTATATATATATATTTTTTTTTGTTCGAAGCTGCAGTTGGGATTGCTTGTTGTTTCAGTGGACGTGCATAATCTCAAAATTCTAAAAGTGGGACATTTTTCACGAAAAATCACAATCCCGAAAACTGAATATCAGAATAATATAATATTCCCAGAATAATAAAATATTCCTGATATAATAATAAAATATTCCTAATATTCCTGAAATATTGAAAGTATGCCATTATCCCGAAAAAGGATAACAATATCGAAAACTGTGTACAAGAATTATCTCCCGAAATATTGAAAGCATAAAGTTGTCAATAACTTGTCATACAGCTTTGCGACAACTTTACGTTTTCAATATTTCGGGAGACTGACCCTGTATTTAGTTTCCGGGATCGTGACTTTTCAGGACCATAATACATTTTCAATATTGCAGGAAAATTGTATTCCGATATTTTGTCCCGATCGATGTGTTGTTGTATTGCTTGACATTATTTGCAAAAAAACTGTTATACAAATTTATGGAATTGAGTTTTGATTAAAGGAAGCAGAATTTTTTATTCTTAATCTAAATCAAATTCAGTTTAAAAAATTATAAGTTCTGTTTTCTCTAATCAAGATGCATTTGATTGGTTCATTGTCCAATTGATTTAATTAAATTTTTTCTTTATCTAGCATTAAGGAGAGCATGACATATGCGAAAGATACAATTCAATATGGAAATATTTCTTCACACGCATTCCAAAGCTGTTGGAAAAAGTTGTATACTTGTTGAAAAACATTATTTCTGTGTATACGTACATACAGAAAAAAATTAGTAGAAAAATTTGAGGCATAATGAAATATTGTCGATAAAAAACTTTTTTAAGAGGTGTTGCCATGTAATGAAATCTTTTGAAATTATTATTGTTAGATGTCTTTTACTACGTGCATTTAGTCATAATATTTTCAACTGCAAAATATTGTTACAACTTGGATATTGCTTTATACGTTTACTGTAACGTTTATTCGTAACTGTATTGCAATTTGTTTGGTATATTTGCATAAAGTAAATAATGATAAAACTCTGCTTTTATTACTATGTACTTAACGTTATTAAATGATCTTTTATCATCATTTTATTTAAGTGTATGTGCAAATATCGACTATATATATGATTTTATACTATACTATAGAGAGAGAGAACAATTTGTTGAATCAAATAAACGTTTCTTTGGAATAATCCAAACAAATTTTTTGGTTGACATAACAAAAATATTTCTTTGAAACCAAGCCACAAATAAATATTTTTATTGCATCAAACAAAATTTTATTTGATCGATAAAAAAATTCGTTTGGATTCCAAAGAAGTGTTTATTTGATTCAACCAAATCGTTCTCTCTCCAATGAGCATACAATATTTAAAAAACATTTAAAAAACATTTGAAAAAACATTTTTAAAACATTCAAAATAATGAGATAAGTTCTCTTTTTTCATTAAGAAAACATTTTTTTAACGTTTGGAAAAATATTTTGTTTTTTAATATTTAATAAACGTTTATTTTAACGTTTAGAAAATGTTTTTTAAATGTTAAATTTTAACATTTAGAAAATTAAAAACGTTTTTTTAATAAAAAAGAGAACTTATCCCATTATTTTTAACGTTTTAAACATGTTTATGCAAATGTTTTTTAAATATTTTTTAAATATTCTTTGCTCTCTCTCTTTGGGTCTATGTACGTAATTCAAATTTATACATTTCTGAGCATAACGAGATTATGCCATTATGTTCTTAAAAAGTTAATTATTCCTTTTTGTGTGCTACGCTTAGAAAATTCATATAAAAAGATTACCAATATATTGATTGCCATTAATATTTTAATAAAAAAGGATATAGTTTTATCATCTCATAAAAAAGTATTGTCAATAATTATTATTAATTAAATGTGCAAAATAATATACATTTTTATACAGAGTATTTACGAAATACTTGGACAAACTTATGGGACGTATTCTTCTCCATTAAAATAAAGAAAAAAAGTGTATGTAAACACATAATCAAATATAAGTGGTTGCGAAGTAATAGTAAAACAAAGTTTATGTTAACATTACTATTAAATAATGATAAATAAACATTTAAACTATAACAGTCGAGATAAGTTCAGAACTCCGGCAAATATTGCACAGTCACGGCCGGTGGAACGTGCATGGCGGGTAATATGGCTCCAGATGCCGGTCCTCTCGCATCGGGATAATAATTACCCAAATATATGAATTGGGACGGATCAGTTGCATAGCCTCTACGTTCCTCAGACTTGAATCCGTCAGATTTTTATTTATGAGGACATTTAAAACATTTAAAAGAAATTTAAAGTGTATTCACAGCCTGTTAATAACGAATAGATGCTTCGCCAATATATTATTAATACTTGTAAGACTATATAGGATCATCCATAAACTTTTGAAATGGTTTGGCAACCCTTATTTCGCCGTGTTAATGTTTGTCTTTAATCAAATGGCGTCCATTTTGAGCATTTACTTAAATGCTTTCTTATGATTATTTAGTGGTAATGTTAACGTAAATTTTATTTTACTATAACTTTGCAACCACTTATATTTGATTATGGATTTATATAAACTCTTTTTTATTTTGACGAAATAATAAGCCCTAAAAATTTGTCCAAGCATTTCGTAAACATTCTGTATATTGCATGTATTATAAATCGTTTTTAAGCATTTTTGAAAATTATAATTGGAAAATAAACATGTTTTGCAAGGTACCTCATTTTGCCTCGTGTATAAAGCATAATGAGGTTAACCCTTTGAAGTTTCCAGGTACGTATATGTACCAGCACTAATCTCTCGAAGACTGAAAGTTTATTTTTAAATATAAAATGGTACGAGGATATACCACGCAGTTTTCTGCACGCGTGCAAAATACGACAGCTGAATATTGCATTTCAGGTTATGTTTTGACTATTTAGTTAATGTGCTACAAGTGTGTATGTCAGATTTTGACTCTGTATTCTAAAAAAACGTATATTTATTGTAATATTACGGTATATTTTTTGTAATATTGCGATTTTGTTTTCCTAAATCAGATAAGATTTTACTAATATAACTATTGTTTGAAGATTTTTTGCAAAAATTTTTGCCTCTTTGCAAAAATTGCTTTTCTAAATATAACTTATAATCACCCCTTTGTTTCAATATAATGTTGATAAGAAATAAATTATTTTGCAAGACAAAACTGTTGGTTTATTTGTTTACCATACTTTAAAACTGATAGTACATATATAACCAGCACCTCTTTACAACCTTTACCTATTTGTATATTAAAATATATAACCAGGCCTTTTATTAGACTTATACTAATTATCAAAAACTATAAAAGTTACAGATAACATATTGAAAATTTGTCTTCAAAGGGTTAAGTGACACTTTCAAGAGAACGATAATTTTGTCCTTTTTAACTCTTGTTTTACAGCAAAATTTGCGTTTTTTATAGTAAACATTTCAAAGAACGTTTTCATGCAATATGAAATTGAAATTATTTATTTCTAATATATATTTAAAACTTATTTAAATTTTACAGTCTGCATTATGCCCCAAATTCTCTTCTATAGACTTACTCATCATATATTCAAATTAACAATCATTGTTTTAAATTTTAAAGCCTTAATTTTCAATAATGTTATAATTTTATTTAAATATTATAATAGTTTCATAAAGAGTCCAATATGATTATTTTGATAAAAATGATATCTTTTGTTTTGATATTTAAAAACATTACCTTTCAATCCAATATTTTGTGATTCTACGTTAACGAAAATTATTCTGAATAATAAAAACACAAGTTTCTTTCGCATGCTTAAATCATATAAAATATATTGTTGCAAGTAACTTATCTTCATTTAATGCTATGGAATCTCATTTGAAAATTAATATGTCAAAAATAAAAATATTTGTTAAACAAAAATGTTCTTTTTTGTATATAGTTTCATTTTTCCCTTTCTAGGTTTCTTACTTTCTTGAAATTTTTTTCAAGAAACATCTTAGCCGGGCAAGACTGCTATGTTGTACTTCTTCTGTCAATGAATATTTATATTTTCGAGAAAAATTTTCTGCACGTGGAATATCGACGATGAAAAGTCAAATCAAAATGGTCTCCATGCATTGCGTCTCGTCCGCGTTTTTAGTCCCTCACGACTATTGCAATGGACCATCGAAAAACTTGGATATCGGCCGTATCGATGACCTCTGTCTGCCGGATCTCTACCTGCGCTATTTCCAGTCGCGATAGATTTTCATACGCGACCGCGCAACATTCGAAATGACGAATGATCGGCCACATTGGCCGCGCCGGCTGTCGCACATTTGCCTCCGTATCCGGTGCGCCGTTTATCGTTAAAAACGATTAATTATTCGTTTGATAAGCGCCGTACGTTCAATTGGCGAGTCCGACTTGTCAATCGGCGACAGTTCGCGCTCGCGCGCGTTATTATCGCGAGTCGGCATCGGCGCCCGCATAAATGCATTGCATTTACGTTCCGCCTGCTGCTCCGAAATTTCCCACCGAAATTCACGTCGCGTCACGTCGCGCCGCATCGCATCGTGTTCGCATTTCGACCGATCCACAACGTTGACCGACGGTCGAAGTGTAACCGCGCAAATGTGCATAATATGTAACGTCATCTGAATTAGATACAAACGGAATGAAATTCGTAATATATAACGTTATATATATATATATATATATATATATATATATATATATATATATATATATATATATATATATATA